GAAGTGTTATACATGGTTTCAATGAGTGCTTAATAAAAACATAAGTGTCAAAAGGACTCTGGAGCTAATTTGAAGAGGCTTCCACTGGCCAAAGATAGGACAATTTGGCTATCAGTGACAATAACTGCAGTGGACCGAAACACATCAAACGTGAAGTCCATGAGTTCATAAAGATATTGAAACAGGATGCTCATTGGTTGTCTGTGGTGGATATAGGGGAACCAACTTCTTATTTGAAAAGTACTAAGAAAAAGGAAAGAGTGAAGCGCTTATCTTGTTTTTTTTTTTTTTTACCAACTTCATATACTTATTGAGGGGAGGTATCTCTTTATAGAAACAGTCCAACTAATAAATGAAAAGGAAATGGTAGAATTAGAAGATTAGAAGATTTTGCAACCACTGTTGAATTTATGGATCTAGCTCAGAACTTCTCAGCTTTGGCACTATTAACATTTTGGGCCAGTTAATTGTTGGGGACTATCTTTCGCACTGTAGGATGTTCAGCAGCATCCCTGGTCTCTACTCACTAGATGCCAGTAGGACTGCCTTACCCCCAGTTGTGACAACTAAGAATGTCTCCAGACATTGTCAAATGCCTCTCAGGGGCAGAATCACTGGGGTTGAGAACCACTGATTTAGCCATTGGTTATCACTAGCTGCTAACCTCACAGAAAGAGAAACAGACAGTTATGTGACTCCTGAGAAAGATATATAACATCATGCAAGAAGAATTCTTGCCAGAAAATTGAACTGGAGTATAATCAAACTTCTAGATCTGACTTCCAGTTTCTAAGAAACACTGGGGACAGAGAGATATGTTAATACCATGAAGATGTCAGGAAAATCTGGAGTGTTGGGAACTATAAGCAAATGAAATGGTTTCTTCAACAAATAAATTGTAAGAGAAAGAGAAATAGGGAGAAGTCAGAATCTATAAATTAAACGAAGAAATAAGAGAAATATCAAAAAATTGCTGTTGTATCTTATTTGGTTCCTGAGTTGAGCAAACTAGTAAAAAAAAAAGAGGCTATTGGGGAAATTTGAACAATGACTAGATATTTGATATTAAGAGATTATTGTTAAATGTTTAGATGTGAAAATGATATGATTTTTTTAATTCCTCTGAGAAGAACATACTGATATGTTTATGGATGAAAAATGATTTATCTGGAATTTCTTCAAAAAAATTCAGTTTGTAGAGAGAAACTAGATGAAACTAGAGAGAGAAAATAGATGGGGAGAGAACTAGAAAGTGGATAAGAGAGAGACACAATGAGTGGCCATGAGTTGATAATTGGTGAAGTTGGGTGATGGATACATGGATGTTCATATTCTCTGAACTTTTGAATTTTTTGGAAAATTTTTAATAAAAAGTTTTTAAAAGTTTTATCATATACTAATTGTATTTTACAACCTATAATTTTGTTTAATTGTGGGAAAAAAGACAGTTCAGTATAAATTCAAATAAAGACTTTACAAGCAATGTAAGAGTCCTTGAATTATAATTTAGCCAACCTCTGCATTTAAATCATATAAGAGGGGTAACTTATTATTTTATAACTCAAATCCATTCAGTGTATCATGGTAGCTAAAGTAAATATTAAGAGTAGTTATTCTTGATCTAACTGGCAGATAATGCCATAGGGCATTCTTTCTGGATTATATAGTGAGATTTAGGGGAAGAGTGAGATTAGTTTGCTTAGGTATCTGCTATTGCTATTTTTTCTAAAAAAAATGGAGAGATAGTATATATATATATATATATATATATATATTATTATGACTTCTTAAACCTTATGTAGACATCTTTCCATAACCATTTATATAAAATCATTGTTAATGTATGCACAGATTTCCATTGTGTAATTGGAAATGTTTCACAGTTTACATTTGTTTTAGGTAGTTCTGTGTTGATCAGCCTCATATGTATATTGGTGCACACTTATCTGATTAATTCCATAGGATAAATTCTCATTAAAGTTACTGAATAAGAAACTATTCATATTTTTAAAGCATTTGCGTTTTCCTGTTGTCATGCCCTCTAAAAGGAAGGGTCTAGTTTCTTTACATCTTTTTTAATACTAGATGTTATTGTTTTTAATCATTTCCAATTTTAAATATGGGATCTCTTGTCATACTTTGACAAAAAAATATCATGGGACTAAAATAAGGATTTTACGAAGAGAAACTTCATCTTACGATATCTACAATATTTGATATTATTTTTTCTTTTCAGGAACTTGAAAGCATAAATGAAGATGTTCAAGCAATGAGCAACTGTTGTCAAGATATGACAAATCGCCTGCAGGTATTGTATAATGACCAGATTTTAGCATAGTTCCTACTACAAAGTAAGCTTTCAAAAATTATTAGATAGATCTACAAAATGTATCGACATCTAATTACATCATACCCTATAGGAAGTTTGAATATAACTATTATGCTTATTTTTTAAAACTATAAACGTCTTAGTGTTTCTCTGGGTGATGGTTTATTAATATTGTTCAGTTAACTTGAGAGCCTTTACATTTTGGTCTAGCCAGTAGAGAGTTAACTGTGTAGAATTTTGATAAAACTTTCAATTCTGTAATATCCCAGAAGTCCAGCAGGAATGAATTTTTTAGTAGAAAGCCTTAGGAATAAGTTCACACTAAAGCTGTGCCTGATAAAAACCCAGCTAAATTCTATTCATGATCAGCCTAAAAATGTCCCAGGAAAATATGTGTAATTTTAGGTCTCTTTATTAAAGCAGTCCTAAACTTCTAGTTTGGCTGCAGAATCAGCATTTGACCTAATTACTTTCATTCATCTAATTTTGGAACAGTGCATATAACAGGTTCTCCCCTAAGGGTCAATCATGATTATGTCTACTATCTTCGTGTAGTTTAATACCAAACTCATACCTCTAAGATTCTCTTGGAATCATTGATAGCAATAGTAATTCTAGGAAGAATCATTAATTTATGCTTATTCCACAAATCAATCATAGTCTACTTGCATTATATGTCTGTTAGGATAATTAATTTCCTGTTTCTCTAAAATTTTATCTTTCCAGTCTTGTCTAAATTTTGATATTCTTATTAACATATCAGATATTA